AAAAAAAAAAAAAAAAAAAAAAAAAAAAAAAGGGCATGATTCTCTCTCTGAGCCCACCAGGGTGTCTATCCACACGTACTATACTCTTTTCCTCCTAATAAACACTTTACTTGTTTCAGTATTTTCCATCTCTATGTGGAAACTCATTTCTACACAGCTGACAGGCCAGGGCCTTGTCACTGGCCACTGGTCCCTGGTGGTCTGGTGGCTAGAATTCAGCACTCTCATTGCCGCTACCTGACCTCAATCTCTGGCCGGAAACCGAAATCCTCCTTCAAGCCACTGCAGGCCGAGGCCACCCAAGATCACACTGACTTCCCAAAGCACTCAGAACAAAATCTGTCTCCCCACATGACCTGCTTCCTGATGTCCGCACCTGCTTCTTCCCCTTGTCCTGCACATGCCAGCTACACTGTTCTTGAACCGGCCAAGCTCAAGGGCCTGGGACTTGGTTGAGTGGTTCCCTCTTCTCCAAGTGTACTCCCCCAGATCACTGCATGGTGGGTTCATTTTTATAATTAGGTCATCTCTCGAGCAAACCCTTTCCTAACCACCCAATCTTCAGGAGACTTTCGGCCACAACCAAGTCCCTCTGTTTCAGGCTCACCATTGCACTTACTGCTATTGTTCCATGTTTTTCTCAGGTTTCACAGTTATTTACTCAGTCTGCCCCCCCTTAAATAGAATGCATGTTGCCCATTTGCGCATCAGGGTGCCCCCAGACCCTGGTGGAGCGCCCGCACACTGGTGTTGACTGAACGAAGTGAAGGAATGAACGGGAACACCTCACAGTCCGTGTAGGTGCTCATGATTATAAAGTACAAAAGAACCCTCACACTTTCTCCAGTCCTTTTAAGGAACTTTAGGGTGGGAATCAAGATGGCCACCAGGGAAACATCATGAGGTACGCTTGTCTCCAGGATATATGTCTTAGTCTGGTTGGGCTGCTGTAACAGAATGGTTGGCTTATAAACAACAGAAATTTGCTTCTCACAGTTCTGGAGGACAGGAAGTCCAAGATGCAGGTGCCAGCAGACCCAGTGTCTGGTGAAAGCCCTCTTCCTGGTCTGTAGATGGCCACCTTCTCACTGTATCCTCACACGGCAGAAGGGGCAAGGGAGCTCTCTGGGGTCTCTTTCATGAGGGCACTAATCCCATTCATGAAGGCTCCATCCTCGTGACCTATTCACCTCCCCAACGCCCCACCTCCTAACACTGTTGCACTGGGCATTAGGATTTAACATATGAACTTTGGAGAGACACAGAAATTCAGTCTATAGCCATGCAGGAGCCCTCAAGGTCAAGTTTAGCGCTCCCTTGTCTGTGTTACGTCTCTGAGGACCCCGATTCACCTCCACACTAATGCTTTTTAAAAATGGGGATTCACTTGACGGTAGTGTTTAAAAGCATAGGGTCTGGGGCCACTTACCAGGTGCTCTGCTATGAGATCTTGGGCAGGTGACCTTAATCTCAATGAAATGCCTCCATTTCCTCATCTGCAAGGTAAAGATTGGTACTTATCTCCAAAGGACCGTGGAAAGGATTATAAATAATAGGTACGAAGCACTCAGAGCAGTGCCCGGGACAGAGGAAGAACTCAGCAATTGCTTACTGTCTTTCTTCTTAGGAAAAACCTGACAACCTGAAAAAAGCTGACACTTCCTTTCAGGCTTTTACCATCTCCATTTCCAGCCTAGGCTTCCCACATCATCTCCAAATTTCGGCCCCTGTCTCAGCTCTTCTTGTCATGGAAGAAGGTCACAACCTCCACGTAGGGCACAGGGAGAGGTGGCAGCTGCAGGACCACCCCCACCCCCTGCAGGGAATTCTCCCAGTGTCCTAAAATTCTATACCCTCCTCACTTACCTGGTGCCAGAGAGAATGAAACCCAGTCCTGCAACACACAGAGAATATCAACCTCTATTTCAACAAAATGGAACCAAATACTTTTGATCTTACAGTGAAATCCACTGCCTCAAAACTGTTCATCTGAAATGTTCTGCTAATAGGAGAAATGATGATGTTGAGTAATAACAGACAACATGTTTTTTTTTCCTAGTTAAAAACTATGCACATCTAAGCTTCTGGAGCAAGTCTGGATGGAGGGAGTTCTCATTTAGAGCACATTCACCATGGAATTTGGCGTTGATGTTCTCTAAGTGAATGCAGTTAATAGATCAATTTGGTTGGGGAAAAAACAACTATCCCAGGACTTTTTCAATACAGGTAGACCTGACCACGTTGTATAGTTCTAATAGCTAGAAAATACAATAAAAGGAGCAGAACTTAGGGTATATAAAATCAAATTATATATGACGTCTTACTGATTCTGATGGCCAAATGTCCCCAGCTATACACATACCCATGGAGATTAGCTTGTTCAAAGGAACAAATTGGAAAGGTTTTTAAAAATAGAGGTATTATATAATTGAGACATAATTCTGAGATCCCAAATATATGCTCTTACTCTCCTGGCTTCTCCACATTCTCCACTCATGGATCATCCTGGTTAATGCACTGATAACCTAGTTTTCAACAGAAACATACAGGTTAGATTAATGAGATGTTAAAGAATTGCAACTTTAAAGGAAACTTTCTATTTTTAATATGTTGTACCAAATAGTTGTAAAGAGCAAAAAACCTACAGTAGCTTCTGATTTTCGAAAACAAAGACCAAAATTTTACTGGGGGAGAAAAAGATCTCATACAACCCAAACCCCCAAATCAACCCAACTGAGATTTGACATGACATCTATATTAAATGAAATTCCACACACTGCATTTAACTCAGTTGCTGGAGGACGTTCTCGCAATGTCACGGAAATAACACGTGTCACGGAAGCAGGTTTGAAACCTTTTATTGAACAGGCAAATGCATTGTGCAATAGTGAGGGACACAGATGCCAAGTGGAAAAGTTTAAAAATTAATTTTGGAAAGAGTCTATGAATTGATGAACCCCGCTGTGCTCCTTCCACTCCTTCTTGGAGTAGCTGCCTTCAGGAAAACGGACCGTGTTATAGCTGCTCTTGGAAACGGCATCCCTGTTTTACCATGAATGTCATGCCTAACAGTAAACATGAAATGAGAAGATGGGCTCCACAGGCAGGACAATGGCCAGAGACACAGCTGATCTCAGACGGAGGCGCAGACACACATTCTCCCGGAAGGCCCTCCGAGTTCTGCATCCACGCTTCGTTTGCATTTCCTTCCCTGCCCAAGCCTTCTTTATCCTGGGGATTCTGAAAGACTCACATTCATACCTGTGGGCACAGAACCTCGTTCCTGGCCCTTTTCAATGGTTTTCTTGTCTTCAGGCACCTCTGGCCCAGGCCCTTGGCGATGTGTCCGTCCAACTTGTCTGCCTGGTTTCTTCCTCTTCCCCGAGCTCGCTCTCCCGTAACCTGATGATAAAATCACTCAAGTTTCACAGTTTGTTTGCCTTGATTTAGTGCCAGTTTTAAAGAAAGTGACCCGTCAAGGTGGTGGACATTCTTTACCAGAACACTGTTAACCTATTTTATAATTTGGGGCATGTCGCTCCAAGCTTGTGACTTCTTTCTGGCAAGTTCCATCCAGGATGGCTGGTCTGTGCTAGCATAGCTGGCCCTCTTCAGCTGATGCAATTCTTTCTCCATCATCACTGCCGACTGGGCTGCTGGAGAGAAGACAAAACAAACGGAAATGCGAGAAATGAGTTTGGATTTGCACTTAAGCCTCCTGCACGCCTTTAAACTACAGGTCCAAGGTCTTAACCGTGGTCTCAAACATAAAGCCCGTAAACTTGTAAAGAAAATTTCAGCATGCAATGACTTATGTGCTAAAAAGACTTCAGAGCAGGCTCAAACAGTCCCAGTGATGCAATGAGGTGAGAGAAACTTTCACAATAAAGCTTCCGGAACTCTGTGTGTGAATATTCTTAACACTGCTGAACTGTACACTTAAAAAGGGGTTAAGATGGTGAATTCTGTTATGTGTATTTTACCACAACGAACACTAAATCTAAAAATACTGATACATGCCACAACAAAGATGAACCTAGAAACATTATGCTCAGTGAAAGAAGCCAGATACAAAAGAACACATATTTTATGATGCCATTTATAAGACATGTCCCGAAAGAGGCAAATAGAGAGACAGAAAATAGAGAGCTGGGGGGTGGGAATGGTGAATGACTCTAAATGGGCATGAGGTAGCTTTTTAGGGTGAGGGAAATGTTCTAAAATTGGACCGTGATGGTTGGACAACTCAGTAAATATATACTCACTGAACTGTATGCTTAAAATGGGTGAGTTTTTTGCCATGTAAATGATTATGTCAATAAAAGCTGTTTTTAAAAAATCAACGTGGCAAGTAATTCAGAAAAACAAAACAGAACAAAACATGGCAGGACTGGGCTTCCCTGGTGGCACAGCGGTTGAGAGTCTGCCTGCCGATGCAGGGGACACGGGTTCGTACCCCGGTCCGGGAAGATCCCACATGCCGCGGAGCGGCTGGGCCCGTGAGCCATGGCCGCTGAGCCTGCGCGTCCGGAGCCTGTGCTCCGCAACGGGAGAGGCCACGACAGTGAGAGGCCCACGTACCGCAAAACAAAAACAAAAACAAAAACAAACATGGCAGGACCAAACCCGGAAGTGCATTTCAAAGTGTTCAGTACTATTCTCGGGTTTCATACCCAAGTTCTGATGGGACAAGGAGATCCCTCTTTGCAGCCCCTCCTGGAGGTGGAGCTTTGTCCCCTGCCTCTGGTCCACAGCGGGCTTGGCAGGGGCCATCAGGAAAGACTTGCTGCGGATGAAGTCGGCTTGCTTCACGGACTCCTGTGAGGACGTAAGAAAGACACACGCTGTCCTGTCACCTGAGATTCAGATGGGGACAAACCTAACCAAAGGCAATGAGCCAAGGGGTTTTTCTGCCAACGTGAATCATGCTACTGGCACTTTCTTGGGGGAGCTCTGCTTTGGGTCCTGGCTGCCATCTGGCCTCCAGGATGCTGAAGTCCACTCGTGCAGGCCTCCTGGGCACACACAGGCGTCCTGGCTTCTGCCCTGTCCCCAGCCCTGGCCTCAACCCCAGACGTCAGGCAGCAGGGTTCCATTGGAAAGGCAAAATGAACTGTGTTTGGAAATAGTTTTTGAGAATTTTATGACACTTGCTATGATCATGGATGCCGGGGTCACTGGTGAATATTTGTTTTATGAATTCCCTAAGCCTGCAGGAGGGTTTCCAAGCTTGGGTATGATTGTGGTTTTGGTTAAAATGGAGAGAAGCGGGTTCTACTGCAGGCTCAGGCTCACTTCCCCGCACGGCTGAAATGTGCTTTGGGATTTACCATGGCAACTGGGGGAACACAAAAGCTGTGAGTCTCAGCCTGCTTCTAAGCACAGTCGTTTGGGTTTGGTAACGCTGTTTTCAGTCCGGAGTGTAAAAGGGAGCCCCCGGTTCCAGCCCTGCAGTCCTAGGTGAGGAATAGGGACCCCAGCGGGTGGCCAGCATAGCAGCAAAAGCAGAACTCGGTCATTATTGCAAAATGAGTCGAGATGGAGCTGTTGACATGGTCACCTAGCGTCCAACTGAGAAGTTATTTTAACCCCGGTCCACCTCTCCAGATGCTGAGCTGCGTTGCCAAGGAGGCCGGGAGCACAGGGCTGTCTCCACTGCCTGAGTGATCCACGGCTTCTCTGATGCCCTAGCTGCCCAGCACATGCACAGGGCAGACAGCAGCAGTCATCACAGGCGACGGTCCCTGTAATGACTGTGCAGGACATGAGGCCATCACGGGGTCCCGGGTCCCAGCCCCGCCAGGGGCTCTCCCCTGCGCCCACAGGGACAGGGAATGTTTGCTCTAAGCACCTGGGTTCTCTCGGGCGCCTTGGCTGGCCTTCCTGTGTCAGACTTCAAGGTCCCAGCCCCAGGCTTGTCTTCCTGGATGGATGGCTGCTCCGGGGCCCCTCGCCGCTTCTGTCGCCCGATGGTGATCCAGGGTGGCGCGGGCTGGCCGTCGGTCCCAGGCCCTGCTGCCTTCTCTGTGGGTAAAGACACAAGTTATGCAAAACAATCCTGGCCACCTTCAGCACCCCCCGTGGCTTCTCCCACCCAGAGAGCACGGCACAGGGGCTCTGGGAGACAGTGGCAGGGAAGGAGTCTGGGAGCCTCTCTGGTGACACCAGTACTTTGTTTTCAGGGACTTTATTTTCTCAGTTAAAGACAAATCAAAGAGATTATGCTCCTCCAGTCTGAGCCACAAAGAATCAAATGCAACTGCTCCTATACACACATTTTGAAGTCACCTTCCTCCTACTGGACACCTTAGAGAATGAGATAAGGGTCAGTACATAATAAGGTCAGGTTTCTTTAATATAGGCCTGTCACCCTAGACCAGTACATACTACCCAATACCCGATTTACTTGGGACGTTCTTCTACTCTTTTCTTTTAGAAATTATAAGCACAACCTTCCCTTGTGGAGACTGACACCAAAAGTAAGCCGTGGCTGTTTTCCTTGAGGTTCGGGAGAGAAGAGAAATAACGCCTTTAAAACCAAAACGTTTTGCTGAATTTCCTTCCATGTTCGCAGTGCTTATTTTGGGCAGTAAAACTGTGGGTCATTCCCCCCCTTCCCTTGCTTTTCGACTCTTCTGTATTTTCATATTTTCTATGATGAGAATTTATTATCTTCATCAACAGAAAAAAGAAGGCAGTTTGCTTTTTCCAAGGAAACGGAATGATTAAATAAGTGGTTTCTCACAGGTCTCTGGAAAGCACCCTGAACCCAAGGGTTCCCCATGAGCTGTCCTCTCTGAATATTTGCCAGCCAGCCCACAAAGCAAGTGGACAGTTACCTCCATCCCCACCCGGCTCCTTCCTGCTTCCCGTGTCCACAGGGCAGCCCCGCCAGCAGGTACAGGCCACACCCGGGTCACAGCCACATGCGAGGCCGGCCAGGACGAATCAGCGCCCTCACTCTTTGTGGCCTGACAGATGCCACCCCTTGTTCTGGCTTGTTTAGAATTTTACTCTATTTGGTTTGGCTTCCGCCTCCAGTTCAACATGGAGTCCTCTTCTGCCAGTCCCCTGGTCACCAAGGAGGGGCGAGGGACAGAGCCACCACCCTGCGAGCTTTGGCCTCCCGGCAGGTGGAGAGGAACCTTGGGCTTCACATGCACTGACCTGTCCTTGGCCCCTGCAAATCCTGCTCCGTCTCCTCAACTTACCCCCCTGTCCCCTCCGGCCTCTCAGGCTCTCCCTGGCCTCTGACCACTTCCCCATTGCTTTGCAAAACACTTGGGTCTCCCACAGCTCAAAACAAGAACAACAAAACATCTCCAGGAGCCTCGCCACCCCCTTGGAGCCCCATTCTCGACCCTCCTCTGCCCTCAGCTCCAATGGCTCCTGCCCGTGTCTCTTCAGCTAATCCTGGATCCTGACACAACGTGAGCGCTCCGCTCTCCATCCGCCCAACCACTGGACCATAGATCAGAGGACTCTCCCATCCTCTGGCTACTTTACCGCTGAAGCTCGGATGTGGCCATATAACCCATCCTGGAGGCCTGTCCACCTTGGGCATCCCCTCTGCAGGTCCCTGCTGGACTCTTGCTCCTAAACCTGGAATTTCTCCTTGTTCCCAACCCTCAGCCTTTTTCTCTTCTTCCCCAAATGTTCTCTGTTCCACTCCTGACCTTCAACACTCAGATTTGCTCAGATTGCTTCCAAATGTGTAATCCAGCCCTACATCTATTCTTAGCCAGAGCCCAGCATTTCTACTCCCCGTCCGCCTTCCTTTCTTCCTCCCTCCCATTCATTCATTCGTTCACTCACTGCTTGCTATGGGCAGGATTGTGTTAAATGCTAAGGTGAAAGAATATAAAAAAACCTGTTTCTTCAAAGAGCTCCAAGTCCAGTGGAAGAGACGAAGCAAAAACAAGTCACTCGATGGAAACTGGAAAATGCTACACTTCACAACGTGCTGTGTAGACACAGGGTAACACCGGCGGGTAGGACCTGAGGATGCTGTCTGTGGTTGGGACCTGGAGAAGGAACCTTCTAGGCTGAGCAGAGGGGTAAGGAAAGGCCTCCCAGGTGGAGGGGCAGAAGACAGAACTGCCAGCAGGCCGGCCCAGAGGGGCTGAAACGCAGGCTAGGCCAACTGAGGGGGGCCTTCCTGGCCTTTTTCTTGTCTATAATGGGGAGCCACAGGGCTTTAAACCCTGGGTATACTCTGGAGGCTGCGTGAGGAGTAAGTCTGAGCAGGCGGACAGCGGGCTGGAGGCGGGGGGCGAGTAGGGAGGCTGTGGCCACGGTCCGGGACAGGCTGTGAATCGGATCAGGGCCCTGTGGTCCTTGCCCGCCATGTCCTCCGCCTGCCTTTTGTCTGTGGAAAACTTTTAGCCAAAGAATAAGTTTACTCCGAGAAGTGAGAAAATGCAGAAACAAAGGAAAACAGTCAAAGGAGACGAAATAATAATAGTTGAGTCAGTAAGCAAAGTCAAGGACCTATAGTTCCTCCTCAAGGGCTACAGCTAATATTCTGAGCCGTCTCCTGTGAGCTGTCTTATAGATACTGAAACCCTCACCAGGTGAAAGAAGTTCCATGACACAAGCTGCCACAATTCCAAGAACTGACCTCAAAGACATGGAAACAAACCGACCCTGCAACTAGAGATTAACTGTACCTGAAACAATCAAGATGACGCTGGTCAGACCACTGATGACCAATTTCTCGATGACCGTCAGAGCTGCCTGGGCTGTTTCTGCGTGTAGCCCCTGCGCTCTGTCTGTAACAGCTCTTGCCCCCTGTCAGTGGGGGGGGGGGAGTTGGCCTTGGGACTCCATTCGGCCCCCGACCCCAGGTGCTGGCATCCAAAGTAAAGCAAACTTTCCTTTCCGCCAACCTGGCCTCTTTAATGGCTTTTGAGAGGAGGGCAGCCGGACCCCACTTTCGGTTGCAGGTGGACACTGGCACCAGGATCACCCCCTCACGTCCACCAAGTCGGCACCCGGATGCCGTCTCCTCTATGAAGCCTGTTCTGGTCACCTAGCTGGACGTGCTCTCCCTCCTAATCCTCTGGAACTCTCTTGAGACATTTGCCCCGACACATCTGCCAGCTGACCGTCCACCCCACTGACATACGCTTTCCTTATTATTATTTTTAAAATTTGTTTATTTTATTTATTTATTTTTGGCTGCATTGGGTCTTCGTTGCTGCACGTGGGCTTTCTCTAGCTGTGGCGAGCGGGGGCTGCTCTTCATTGTGGTGCACGGGCTCTAGGCGCGCAGGCTTCAGTAGTTGTGGCTTGCAGGCTCAGTAGTTGTGGCTCACGGGCTTAGTTGCTCCGCGGCACGTGGGATCTTCCCGAACCAGGGCTCGAACCCGTGTTCCCTGCATTGGCAGGCGGATTCTTAACCACTGCGCCACCAGGGAAGCCCTGACATATGCTTCTGGTCATTAGAACTTATTTACTAAACAAACACACGGCAGAGACTACATACCAAGTGCTGTTCTAATATTAGCTTATCTACAATGTAATTTTACGTTTTATTTCTTGTCCAGAGAACCCAGTGATTGCCCAGCGCACAGAAGGCAGGCTGGGCGGCTGTGTATTTTACAGAAAGTCTGCATTTCCCATCCCTCGTTCCAGAGAGTCCTCACAATCTGTCTTTCTGGACTTTTCTTAAAGGGGCCCTTTCACTTCCTCTTAGATCTTTCTTTCATGCTCAGTGGCTGGTCGTGCCCTCTGCTCTCTTTTGGCCCCAGATGTCTGGTCACACGGTCCTCCCAGCAATCCCCAGCACGTGCTGGCCTTTGCTGCACCACAGGGAGACTGGAGAGAGGGCTTCGACTAGGGGTTGAAACTCACTATTTCAGTCAACAAGACATTCTAATGCTTCAGTCAAGACTAAGTGTACTGGAGACAACATTCCATCCTGGGCTTTAAATCAGAGGCAAATGGTGGCTGGCTGTGCGAGGCCAGCGCTCCAGCTGGCTCCCCGGCCTCCGGGGGGGGGGCTCAGTGTCGGGCTCCTGGCACTGTGTCACTCTGACCATGACGGCACTGACATAGCTCTGATGAACTCCTATGCCATGCAGTTGGATGACCCATATGAGCCAAAGAGAGTATTTTACAACTCACTGGAGAAAGTTGTATGGAACAGGGCATAGGCAGCGTTCCTACAGATAGTGGGGAGAGGAGGCTGGGGACCCTGAGGGTGGGACTCTAACAGGGATCTACACCCCCTGTGCAAGCCAGGACACAGCTGGGACTCATCAAGAACACCGTCTCCTCATGGAAACAACCTACGTGTCCATCAACAGATGAACGGATAAAGAAGATGTGGTGTATATACACAACAGAATACTACTCAGCCGTAAGAAAGAATGAAATAATGCCATTTGCAGTGACATGGATGGACCTAGAGGTTATCATACTAAGTGAAGTAAGTCAGAAAGAGAAAGACAAATAACATATGATACTACTTATACGTGGAATCTAAAATATGACACAAATGAACTTATCAACAAAACAGAAACAGACTCACAGACATAGAGAACAGACTTGTGGTTGCGAAGGGGTGGTGGAGGGATGGAGTGGGAGTCTGGGGTTAACAGATGCAAACTATTATATATAGAATGGATAAACAACAAAGTCCTACTGTATAGCAAAGAGGACTACATTCAAAATCCTGTGATAAACCATAATGGAAAAGAATATTAAAAAGAATGTATATAAATGTATAACTGAATCACTCTGTTGTACAGTAGAAATTAACACAACATTGTAAATCAACTATACTTGAAAAAATAACTTAAAAAAAAAAAAAGAACACCGTCTTCTGAGTGAGAGGCAATGAGCTGTACAATGTGAACCACCACCGTTTCTTGCCCTCTGGCTAAGAAAATAAAGCAGATACTCCGCCCTAAGCTAACATACAGTAGGACGGCAGGCTTCTTACACCTCGTAAACATTTGGTAGATGCTGCCGCTTCTGGAGCAGCAATTTTAAAGAGTCTTCTTCCTTTCATAAAGTATCTTTCTTGTTCATAAAAATACACATGCACAGTGTACAAGTTCAGAAAGCAGAAGCAGAAAGAAGGAGAAAAAAGTTCTTCATAAATCAATGCAGCCCAAGAGAGCTATGTTAACACCCTGGCACACAGCTTCGAATCTCTTTTGTTACGTTGTCATCTTAAAAATGCATATCCACGGCTCATTCCCAGCTCTTCTCAGTATGCTCTGTGGATGGAGAGGCCCGAGTTTGCTAAGATTTCTGCTCTGAAGTGCAAGGATTGCCAGCATTCATGACAACGAGCTGAGGCCAGAGCCGTCCCCTGTTTCTGTCTCCCCTCCAGCCCCTCTGCCATCACCCTGGTTTACACGGAGGTGACCGCGTGCCCGGAGAGACACTAAGGGGACCGCTGGGGTGGGGGAAGGGGACCCTGGGGACACGTGGGCCTCACCCACACTGCGGGCTCCCTGTATGAAAGTTGAAGGTTTTTTAAAAAGTATTTATTGATCTACTGTCAGCCTCACCTGATCTATACAAGCTGGCAAAGTCTGCTGTCGCTCTGTATTGGTTCTGGCTGTGAGCCAGGCCGTGCGACGCTACCAGAGAACTTGGGCTTTTAACGCTCACGTGAGCATTTGTAAAGCCGTGCCGAGCATTTTAAGAATGAGAAAGGGTTTCAGGCAGAGAAAGCCCCCATTTTTAATAATTGCGACGCGGCTGTGTCCTAGCTCCACCTCCGAAGGAAACTTACCATTCCTTCCTCTGTTCATCCAACAAACACAGTCAGCCCTCGCCCAGGAATTCTGTATTTGACAATTCAGCTACTCGCTAAAACGTATTTATAACCCCCAAAATCAATAGTCCTGACCCTTCATGGTCATTTGCAGACATGCGCAGAGCGAAGAAAACTTTGAGTCCTGGGATGAACACGTTCCCAGCGGATGTGGAACAAGGGGATGCTTCTTTCATGTTTCTGCTCTCAGGCTGTAAACAAGGGTCCTTTCACAGTGTACTTAGGGTCACATTTTTTGCACTTTTGTGTTTTTTCTTGGTGATTTTACTGTCTAAAATAGCCCCCATATCTACTGAAGTGCTGTCTGGTGCCCCTAAGCACAAGAAGGCAGTGATGTGTGTTATGGAGAAGACACGTGTGTCAGATGAGCTTCGTTCAGGTGTGAGATACTGTTGTTGGCTGGGAGTTGGATGCTCATGAATCAACAGTACATATTAAATAAGCTGTCTTTAAACAAAAACACACATAAAACAAGGTTATGTATCAGTCACTTGAGAAAAATGTTGTGATTGCGTGCTCACAGGAACCTAACCCTTTATTCCCCCTGGAGCGATGGTTCACGACTCGCTAATTCAGTGTTTGCGGTGACTTCACAGAACACAGCTACCGTGAAAAACGAGAATCAACTGTACTGGGTGAGCACAGGCCCCGTGGGAGATGCTGAATCTACAGAGAGGAAGGATGTCTCTAACCCAGTGCACTCCTCCAGCGCAGGCACGCAGGCTCTCCTACCAGAGCCACCAGGGATAGAGAGGTCCTTCCACTGCTGACACGTGGCCACCGTCCAGGAATGAGTTCTAGAGCCCACTGGAAGGGGCACCGAGGGGCCTCCGGGCACTGGTCTCATTCTGTTTCTTGGTCTGGAGTGTGTTCCGTGTCTGAAAATTCATTGAGCAGCACGTGCCCATCTCTGCATGTACATCATTCTCCAAGCAAAAGCAAAAAACCAAAACCAAAACACAAAAGCCACTCTAAGAGAATCACAACTCACGCGGTGCTTGGACAGTGACCTGGAGAAAGATGCAGCTCCCTTCCCATCCTCTTCAGTTCCCTTCGGGCCTCCGCGCACCTGGAGTTCTAGGACCACCTGCCCTGCACCCCCCTGCTCCTGCTTCTCCATTCTCCAACGGCTTCCCCTGAATCCCTCTTCCTGCTTCCATTTACTCTCCTAAATAAGACCACAGATCAGCAAGGGCAGAGAACCTGCCTCTCTAAACTCAGGGGCCAAATGCAGCTCTCTCAGTGAGGAGAGCCACTGCATCTGAGAGTCTCTTTCTCGGCCACCAGGGCAAACCGGTCCTTACCCCTTTCCCTCCTTCTAAGTCAGAAGGCACTGCTGGGATCTCGTCACCCCAGCTCCCCTGAAACCTACCTTCCCTTGACCTGATCTGGATGTGCAGGGCCGGGCATCTGACCACGGGCAGACACCTGTACTGGGGGTGGGGCCCAAGGGTCAGACACTTGGCCAGGCTCTTTGCTTGAGTTCAGGGGCTAAGCCTGGGCCTCAGCATGTGAAGGCTGGCAGACCTTGTCCCAGTGTCCAGCCTGAACCCCACACCTCACGGTGGTGACCAGGAAGCCAGCGGCAGGCTCCAAGGGCGCAGAGTTGTGATGGAGGAGCTTAGATTGAAAGTCCATTTGCTCACGCACCACTGTGTCTGCAATTAAGACCGTCTCCAAGGAGAAGGCCATGACCAAGGTCCTTCTCTGAGTACAGAGACAGCTGGTCTCCATTACCTGCCAGGTGATATAACTGGGACCTTATAAGCATATGGGGATGGAAAGGCCCTGTAATTCGAAAATAACTCTGAGCTCAGCAAAGGAGGAAGAGTAGTGAAACTATTATATTACACGGCATCCTCCTACAATTCAGAATGGAAACAGTCACCCCACCTTGGATTCCTGGTGGCTCTCCAGGATCAGCTGGGATTCTGTCTCGAGTGGAACTCTGTCTCGAGTGGCCACCGAGTGGCCAATCAGTGGAGGGATGGCTCTTGTCCATGGAGTTTGGATCTTCCCTCCTCTATTACACCTCCCCCTCCCAACCCCAGACAGGTAGGGACCTTTCCCCAGTTCATCACTCAAGAAACGTTAACAGCTAAGGGTTACTAGGTCTTGGTTTTCAGAGCCGTATCATATTCATAATGACCCTCACAACTCGCCTTGTGATGTCGAATGCTTTCAATCTCCATTTCAGAGATGGAAACACAGAGTCTCGCTGTGTAGAGGACTTGCTCAGGGTGACACGGCCAGTGTGTCACCAAGGGGGCACTGGACACAGGCCTCTGGATCCCTAACCTTCATTCACTATATCACACACCGTATCATATTAAGGGGAATGACCCCACAACTTTCCCACACGTCATACCCTCCCATCATTGCTTATCATGGAGTGACAAGCAACTGTTACTCACCCTGGCACTACCGAGGCTTGGGGCTGGATAATTCTCTGCTGGGGGGCGCTGGGGGCCTGTCCTGTGCATCGTAGGACGTTTAGCCTCCTCCCACTAGATGCTGGTGGTATCACCCTTCCTCACACTGTAGTTGTGACATTCGACCATGTCTCCAGATACTGCCACGTGTCCTCGGAAGCACACAGCCACCCCCCGTTGCAGAGCATTATAGTGCCGCCTCTCCCCAGCCCCCCGGGTCACATGCCAGGTGCCTCTGGGCAAGTCTCTTGGCCTAAGTTTCACTGTGGTCACTTCAGAACATGGTGTCACCTCTGGGCTGAGTCAGGGTTGTCTCCTGCCTCCTCGAATGCAGGGCATCTGAGCTGGGGGTGGGGGGTCCTTCCCCAGGGGCTGGGGGTCTGGGAAGGAGGGGGTGGGGGACAGGCAGAGCTCTCCTGTGACCGGCGCCTGCCACTGTCCGGGTGGGCTGTGTCCTGGGTGCGTCTGGCAGAGGCCCAAACTGACTCTGAGAGATTCCCACCCATCACCCACCCTCCCCAGCTAGCTCAGCTCCCCTCCACCCACACCGGCTCCTGTCCCCAGAGTCCCTGCGCCCCATCCCTGTCCCGTGGGAGGCCCTCTCGGGATGAGGGAGGCTCCCCTGGTGCCACCCTGTTGAGCTGAGGACTCACAGAACCGCAGCTGTGACCCCTGCAAACGCTCTCTTCCTCTCCCCTCTTAGGACCCCTGTGTACACTCAGGGAGGTGGTGGTGGTCCGTGGCTCCCCCAGTATTCTGCACACGTTCTCTCTGGGGTCTCACATCTACGCAGCGGTGCCTTCAACAGAACCGGGACAGGAGAGTCCATGCCCGCTCGCTGGTCTCCGCCGCCCAGAGGAGGTTTCGGTACCTCCTTAGGGAAGAATGACTTGTACCATGTGAGACTGTATCAAGTTGGCAGTGAAAATGTTCTTGCTGCCCCGTGAGTTACTACTAACCTCATTTTACAAAGGAGGAAGTTAAGACACAGAGGTTGAGAAATTCATTGGCTCCGAATCCCACAGCCCCTGACGGGTGGACTTCGGAGTCAAGCCTCCAAACCAGCCTCTTCAATCTCCCCACCCAGAACCTGCCTGGCTTGCTTCCCAGCCTTGTCCCAGCACCTAGTTACACACACACACACACACACACACACACACACACACACACACACACACACACACGCAGCAGAGGG